TTGCTTCGCGCAAATTACTCTAAACTTTTAGGTAATATTCCTTATTGACCGTTCTTCCCTGTGGCAAGAACTCATGATGCACCACGCAGGGTTGCCAACTCGGATTTTAAAAAAGGCGTAGGTCAGATAAAGAAAGTTATGTAGAAATGTGAAATTGCCATATAAAAAATACGTAGATCTACGTACTTTTTTTTCTGAGTGAAATTAAGAGAGTAGGGTAGGTAAAAGTAAATAAAATGACAATTTATATTACCCTAAAAGTAGTAGACAGCAAACAAACAACAAATTTAAAAATAAAAAAATCTATGAATTATAAGTCTACCAGAATCTCATGGCAAATAAGCCAAACTTTACATGCAAATGATCTGTTTATATAGATATTTATATATTTGCACATAGAGTATGAAATAAATAAGGCTAAATAATGAATGGATTTTAATATATGTTTTTAAAGTTTGGCTTATTTGCCACGAGATTCTGGTAAACCTATACCACCTGTAGTTAATTTAAACAAGTTAAACAAGAGGCTAGGGGTGTCCGTTAGTATGAAACGGAACGTTTATTAATTTTTTCGCGAAAATAAAGGTAAATATGCCCATTCGGTTTATTTTGCAAATTTGAACAATTTTGATAGAAAATACGTAGATTCTGGGACTTAAGTTCGTAGGTTTGCAAGAAAGGCTTAAAGTACGTAGAACTACGTAAAAAGACGTATAGTTGGCAACCCTGGCACCAGAAAAGAAAACACAAAGAAAACTGTCACCAAAACTTTCACATTCGATCGAACTTGGCGCGCTTTTTTCGGTCTTGGTTCGTGCGGCAGCTTCCATTGAGATGATTGAGCTTTGGTTTCCACGTGGTAACCATAAACCCACGATTCGTCACCAGTTATTACCCTCTGGAGCAAATTTGGATCGTCGCGGACAGAGTTTAACATCTCATTAGCAATGTTCATGCGATGCTGTTTTTGGTCGCAATTGAGCAATTTTGGTACGAATTTCGCGGCGACCCGTCGCATGCGCAAATCGTTGATAAATATCGAGTGGCACGAGCCAATCGATATGTTTAGGTCCTCAGCAACTTCTCTAACGGTGATTCGACGATCGGCCAATACCATTTTATCCACTTCATTAATTTTTTCGTCTGTTGTTGAAGTGCTCGGGCGTCCGGCACGCTCTTCGTCATTCACATCTTCTCGGCCTTCTGAGAACATTTTGTACCACCGATACACTTTGCTTCGGTCCAAGGTAGCTTCTCCGTATGCCACAGTCAACATTCGGAATGCATCCACGCAATTAATTTCGTTTTTCACACAAAATTTGATACAGGTTCTTTCATCAATTTTTTTGAATAGGTAAAAACCAAAACACGTGCAAGCAAAGCAGCTGTCAACAATCAAGTGAACATTAAAATGAATGGAATCAGATAGTTCCCATACAATAGAATTAAATAAAAAACGCACCCCGTGGTTTTTGATCAGATCGACTAGATTTCTTCCAGATGGCGTTTTTTAACTACTATTGAATTTCGGATTAAATTGGATCGAAATCGGATAGCTACATATATTATAAAGCTGCCATATGATCTATAGTCGAAAATATGGAAAATGAATTGCAAAATCGTCATAGCTTCGATGTTTGATGGGGGAAAGGTTAATTCGACCCAATTGAATGTATTGTACCCCCTATTTGAGCTTAAAGCTCACCCGTCAACCCGGTTCCTCCGATAAAGTTAAGGAGCTTTGTTGGGTCGATGCTTTCAGAGGTCCCAAGTGTAAGGAACCTGGGCCCGATGTTCCACTCCTCAGGCTACTCATCCTCGCTATCACAGAATCTGCATGTATTGCTGTTTGCAATCCCTATATTAAATAGGTGTCCCCTTAGTTTGCAATGTCCGGTTAGTAAACCGGTAATTACCCTAGTGGGCTATTACCACAGGCTTGCCTCAAATGTACCTCTTCCATTCTTAGGTAATCTTTGATTGTGTGCCTATGCCACAATAAGGCTCGGGTCCTATAAGGGGTCGTTCCGCCCCTAGTTTTGCTAGCCTGTCGGCTAGTTCATTCCCGGATATGTCTTTATGTACTGGAATCCATGTTTCAAGACAAAACGAAGTTAAACTGATAGGTCTGAAGGTCTTGGGGTTGGTGATGTCTTTCTTCCCTACCTTGGGTATGAAGACCACCCTAGCTCTACGCCACGCATTGCGGATGTGTCCAATTGCTAGGCTGCTCACCATCAGTCTCCTTAAGCGGGTTAGGAGTAAGTCCAGTCCCTGCTGCAGGAATGATGGAGAGATACCATCCGGAGAGATTAGAGACTGGGCAATTGCCCAGTCCTCAGCGCTTGGTCTTAGGTGTCTCGGAATGGACACTGCTTCCATTGGGGTGGACGTATCTTCCACCAGGGGTGAGCTCCCAGGGAAGTGTGTTTCAAAGAGTAAAGCTAGTTTATCCATGTCGTCGGAAGTGTAGGTGTTATTACATTTCCTCAGGGCTCGGTTACTTTCTGGTGCAGCTTTGGCCATAACCTTGTGCAATCTTGTCCCTTCATGTGCTGTGCTGATTGCCTCACAGAAGTCTCTATAGTTCTTCCGTTTGGCCTTCCTGATCTCTTTGTTGTAGAGCGTCAGGCTTTGCTTATATTGTCCCCAGTTATGCTCGCTCGTTTTTGCTCTGTTGAAGAGCCGGCGGGTGGAGATGCGGAGCCGTTCCAGGTTGGCGTTCCACCATGGGGCGTCTCTTTCCGCTTTCCGTCTGCCAAGAGGGCAACTGTCCTCAAAAGCATTGGCTATCTTCTAAGGGGCTGTGGAGATGGAGGGTGGTTGCTTCGCGCTCTTGTCACCCGCCTTCGGCACGCTGAGTATGCCTGCAGATGCCTTGTCGCCGCCGCCTTCAAGGTGCAAGGCTCCTCAGGCCTTGGACGGGAGGGAGGTGCCTTTGCCTCTTTATTGCCCTCTGACTTGGGGTGGGCCGCTGATCGTGGCTCCTTAGCCTTCCTCAGTGCCTCGTTAGGCGTCATGCCCTGCTGGAGGTATCTGAGGTACCACTTGATTTGGGACCCCGGTAGGCCTCTCCTGGGTTCGCTCTCCGACGAGGAGTTTATTTTCTAAATGCCTTGTGACACTCGAGGCAGGGATGTCCTGCGGTAATTTGTTACTTGTATGCTTTTTCATATTCTACTCCCACGAGTTGCGGAGAATATACGGTCCGCCCGGGCAGAGATCCGCCATACCCGGGTAAGACATAGTTTGGACAGGCGGTCGCCCCTTGCCTGAACCCTCCGTGAGAGACTGGGCTAGTTGTTAATCCGGGCCCCAGCCAGGCTGACTATCGGCACGGGTCGGATGACACCTTAGTCCGGCACCGGAGTGAGATTGTGGGAAGGGAAGTTGGTAGGTAATTCTGGGGGAAGAGGGGTGTGTGAGGCTACAATTTGAAGACGGCCTAGACAAGCGTCTTATCAGTACACCGACTTCGGTGTACCCGCTGTTTGTCCGGGGTTGCTTATTAGCCTTATGAACCTTATGAAAAAGGCCGTTCGCTATCCGCAACCTGCGACCCGCCTGGTGGTCCCAGCTAAGGCCCCTCTTGAACATACACTAGTCGGCATATATATTTTGACAATAATCAAAGTGAAATATACTCGAAACTTGAACTTGCTTCTTTTAACTTTTGGTATCAATGGAAAGGTAATTTAAATGCCGTTTGAATGATACCATAATTTTCTTAACTCATTCGATATTTATTGAAAAAGTCAATTTAAAAAAAAATTAAAAAATAATTTTTTTTAACTTTTTCCCTCGGCTTCAAAACTAAAATTTTTGGATGCAAAAAGTTTCTTTAAACAAAAATAATAGTAACTGCAAAAAGAATTTTGCAAAAATAATTTTTCTTTTATTTTTAATGATTTTTCGAAGGTGACAATGTCGGAAAAAATTTGTATGGAAAAGACAAAAATATGGCTTAAATGCGTATTTCTAAGCATTTTCAAAAAATTATAAAAAAATAAAAGAAAAATTATTTTTGCAAAATTCTTTTTGCAGTTACTATTATTTTTGTTTAAAGAAACTTTTTGCATCCAAAAATTTTAGTTTTGAAGCCGAGGGAAAAGTTTAAAAAAATTATTTTTTAATTTTTTTTTAAATTGACTTTTTCAATAAATATCGAATGAGTTAAGAAAAGTATGGTATCATTCAAACGGCATTTAAATTACCTTTCCATTGATACCAAAAGTTAAAAGAAGCAAGTTCAAGTTTCGAGTATATTTCACTTTGATTATTGTCAAAATATATATGCCGACTAGTGTATCACTAGTTCTCGAGGAACACTTGTTTCTAAAATGGGATAAATTTAATTTAATTTGTTTCTATGCTATACGGGTCACAATGATTCAAGTAAGTAAGAGCGAGCAAAATTATTATCTGATATGGGGCTATGACTTCATCAGAAATAAACATGAACCACCCATTTTGAAACCATTATAAACAAATTATAATCGCGAAATCGCTATTAAAAAATTTATTAGAGAACAAATCGCAATTGTTGGCTTTTCGATCCATTTTAAGGCCCGAAAACGATCTAAGTACGCGGATCCGATTTCATTTTTTGAAACTCTGTTGACTTTTAGATTTTGATGTCAAACCGTTATTCTTTTATATGGTCCTTTTGTTTTTAAAATGCCCTCTTTTATGTTTTAATTTACAATTAACCCAACCAATTAAACAGAGAGACCACCCACGTATTCGCGGCTTCAACAAAATAACTCTTTATCTCTTTCCGTGACAGGGCTAACGAACTTATATAAAATAATATTTAAGTATCGATTCAGATTTGAAAACTTAATAGTTTCTACAACATATGCGAAAATTTAACAAATTAAAATAATAAATAAATTTAAATAGCTTACAAAAAAAAATTTGTCAAAAGCAGCTCCTTTCTCGTTATGTCGTTTCTATGTTTTCATTTCGAATATAATTAATATATTTATACTTTTTTTTAGACTTTAACAACTGCGTTTCGTCAGCATGACACGGATATGGATGGAATCATTACAATACATTATGAACAGTTTTTGAGCATGGTTTTTTCTTTAAAAATATAGTCTTAAATAATAAACATTTTAATAAATGCAAATATTAAAAGCCTTTTTCTAATCTTTATGAATTGTAAATACGAAATGAAGAGTTTCAAGTGGAGCCGGACATCTAGGACCTTTTTATACCCCTGCTGTTAAGATGTGTCCCCTCCTGCCGGAAGCTCGGGGTCATAAAAAATAAGGGGTTACGTAGTCGTACAAAAACACTTTGAGAATTAAGGCAATTAATTTCACTATTTATTTGGGTTTCAAGTGATTTATATATAAAAAGCAAATCAAAAGAATTACGCAGCTCCGTTATCGTCGCGATGTAGTGCAAAGATCAGACTGCTTTGTTCCTCTTCCTCCAATCGCAGCGAGACCTCCCTTTGCCCAAACTTTCCGCAAGTATTGGCACCGTGTGGCCAGATCGCGAATCTGAACATGCCGCCCGCCAATGCTAGGCCGTAGCTTTAAGAGCGTCCTAAGCGTCCTGAGCTGTACCTGGAATCTGGGAGGAGAAAGATAAAGAAATTATGTGCATACGCGTGAGAGACTAAAGCTGCTTTGAGGATGGCTATTTTTGAATCGGCAAGCGACAGATCTTCGCTACCGAACGCTTCAGTTGCAGAGCTTGCAAATAACAGTCGACCGTTTCTCGTTGTCTGCTAATAACAGTCTTCTCGTGACTCTTTACGAAAAGGCTCAGAGAACGACTGATTTATGGATCCGTGAATGGGTTCGGTTGCGCTCAAACCGAAACCATTTTTTTCTATTCGGTTTTGTTCTGGTTGCTCCAAGACCGTTTTGTCGTGTTCAGTTAAGCAAAAGGTCTTTTGCATATGTATTGGTATACAGTGCACGCAGTGCAAGCAAATCGTTAAACATCGGTTTTGCGGACGAAATATATTAATCGAGACCGTTTGCGTTGAGTTTTTCGGTCAATCTCATTTCGGTCTTTTGCTGACTCTCATTGTGCGAGCGTTTCTCGATTTGCTCCTTACGCACTGCTCATTGAAAGACCGAAAAACAAAGAGCTCAACGAAAAGCGCTCAACAGAAAACACAAATGATGACAGCAAGGGTCTCCTGCTCAGAGCGAGAGAGTATGAACTTTTTCGGTTGTGCTCGCACCGAGAGAACAAGATGAAAAACGGTCGACTGTTATTTGCGAGAATTGTTCATTTGTCCTTGTTGGGTTTTTAGCGTCACCACGCGAACCAAGCCATCCTGCCCTGGGTGAAGCTCGACAATTCTTCCAAGCAGCCACTGCGATAGGGGAAATCTGTCGTCCTTGACGAGTAAAAGTTAGTCCAACTTTGTGACCATTTTGGACGCTGCTGCAAATGGCTAAGCCAATCCCTACTCCAGCCGTCCGAAAAATGTCGCAACATTGATTGCTGAAGCAGGAACTCCCTGAACTTAGAAGAGGGTGCACTGTATTCCGGGGGCGCAAACATGGAGTCGCCGATTAGGAAGTGGGCCGGAGTGAGCACCTCGAAGTCATCCGCGTCCACTGTGAGCGGGCACAGCGGCCTTAAGTTAAGGCACGCTTGTATGCTTTTTAGCACCGTGGACATCTCCTCGTAGGTAAGCTTGTAACGAACCCGCCTAGAAGGCGGTTACGCCACAATCATAATCATAACCATAACCAAGTTAGCCTTAAGTTATAAATAAATTACATCTAAGATCCAAGCCAGGGGTGGCAACGCTGACCGATACTTAGCCGAGACACCTTAAATACTAGATAAGCAAAGGAGTTAGGATTTCGGCAGTAGGAAAATACTAGAAATCCCGAATGCGGGAAAAGGGAAAAAAAAGGGAAGAGGGTCGCACAGAGAGAGAGAGAGCTTGGCTTCCTCGATCTTTTCTCTCGGGTTCGCGGAACGGGGCGGACGCATGCCTCTGGGCTCTTTTTTTTGGGGTCCGTGGTACGGAGCAGAAGTGTGCTCCTCGAGTTTTTCTTCCTCGCCGGCAGAGGATCGCGGGACAGGCCATCTTCGACGCCTAACGTCCGACCGTCCTCGGGCTTCTAGCAGAATTCGTTCCGACAGTTAGGGTTAGTTAAGACTCATACGGTGTTTCGCGGGTGTTTGTGAACAAGGCTCAGAGTATTTTGAAAGTGAGATAACCGAAGTTAGTACGACCAGGCTCACACGTGTTTAGGACGGTGTAGCGGACCCTATTGAAGTGATACGAAATAAATCGTGAAATATATATAAAACGTGTGTTTTCCTTGCGTAGGCCACTATAAAATCCAACCTCACCTAAACTCTCCCGCCTCCTCCGTAGTTTTGGGGATTCGAGCGCGGACACCCTTCCCGCCGGATCTGCCTACTAACTCTCCCGCCTCCTCCGTAGTTTGGGGATTCCAGCGTGGACACCCTTCCCGCCGGATCTGCTCACTGACTTTCCTGCCTCCTCCGTAGTTTGGGAATTCGAGCGCGGACACCCTTCCCGCCGGATCTGCCTACTAACTCTCCCGCCTCCTCCGTAGTTTGGGGATTCCAGCGTGGACACCCTTCCCGCCGGATCTGCCCACTAACTTTCCTAACTTTCAGCGTTCGAAATACAACGTAAAGATGAGCACTACCGTAACACGCGCAGAGGCACGCCGGAGGCGAGAAGGGTCCCAAAGGACTCGGAGGGGGGCAAGGATGGTCGGGAGTGGGGAGCCAGCCCAGCACACGGCCTATCCGAACCTCCCGACGGGTCCTGAAGGATCCAACGCCGACCGAGCCCGAGCCAACCGTGTCCTCGGACAGCGAGGTCGAGATGATCGACGACCCGCGAATGGAGGCCAGGAGGTGGCGCCTGGAGAAGGCAGTGGGCAGGCGTGGCAGCACGATCCCAGCCGAAACGACAGAGGTTCCAGATGGGCCGTCGGGGCCTCCGAGAGCCAACGTGGAGACGAGGGCCGACATGGCTTTAGGGCTGTGTCGGACCCTGTGGAACGAGTAGACGCCGATCCCTCGTCAAGCAGAAGCCGGGCGAAGGATGTGGGAGAGGCAGCTGGGCGAGCTGCGGCAGATCGCGGCCCACCACGAAGGGCTGAAGCGGAAAGTGGCGGCCATGTGGAGGGAGCAAGAGGCTCGCATCAAGTGGGAGGCGAGGCTGGAGGCGGCGGAGCGAGAAGAGCGGGAGCTATGGGAAAGTCCAGTGATGCTGAGGGAGGTGCCACTGCCGACGCCAGGCATGACCGTGCCCCCAACCCCCAGGCACTGGGTGGAGGAGGTCGAGGAGTTGGAGCTGGCACCAGAATCTAGACCCGAGTCGCCGCAGTGGGTGCCGGCACGGCCGCCAACGCCAGGAGAAGGACTTTGGGACGAGGAACCAGAGGTGTGGAGGCAGGAGGCGGGATGGGAACCCACCTGGGAGACCACGGCCTCACCCCCGCGGTGGGTGCCAGCGCGGCCGCCGACGCTGCATCCAGGGAGAGAGGAGGCAGCGGTCGCCATGGAGATGGAGCAGCAGTCGCCGAAGGAGGCAGACGCAAGTGCGGGGCCGCTGCGGCCAGAGTAGCGGGCCGAGATACCGGAGGCACGGGTCTCGCACTCCCTCAAGGAGTACGTGGAGGAGGGAGTGCGGTGGTGCCAGCACACGGTGAAGTGGAGGTGGCCCACGAAAGCGCCACCAGTGGAGAAGGAATCCCCGAAGGAGCGACCTATGGAGGAAGAATCCCCGAAGGAGCCCGCGGCAGCACCTGAGGACTTGGCCGAAGAACCCGAACCCTGGGAAAGAGGGCCATGGGTGTGGCCCGAGGCAGCCGCCGTGGAGCAGAGGCCCGGTTTCAGACGCCAAGTGTCCTTGCCCGTTGCCAGGTCGGGACCACCAGAGTGGCGTCGGCAGGTGTCGGCGTCGGACGAGCGCAGGTGGAGTGGAGGTTGAAACAGTAATAAAAAAAAAAGAAGAATGAGAAAAATATAAAGTAAAAAAAGGATGAAATTATTAAAAAAAAAAAAAGAAAAGGAGTAATGTGGGGGCAGCCAATTAAAAAAAAAATGGAAACAAAAAAAAGGTTTAGTAATCTAAAGAAAAGAATTGGAAAGTCTAAAGAAAAAAATACAAATAGAAAAAGAAACAGAAACAGAAAAATGGTTAAGCCCAAGATCTCAAAAAAAAGGTAAACAAAAAAAATGTCTAGTAATCAAAGGAAAAGAATGGGAAAGTCTAAAAAAAAAAATGAAAATGGAAAAAAACAGGAAAAATTGATAAGCCCAAGATCTCAAAAAAAAAAAAAAAATTAACGAGAAACAAAAACCCTCAGCAAAAAAAAGGAAATTAAAAAAAAAAATTATGGAAAAATACTAATTCCAGTAGCAAAAGATACTTGACCAAAACACAAGCTGGTAACACTAAAAGTGTTCTGATCTCTTTTGCTTTCCGTAACTTCTTTCCTTTTTGTGTTTGACCGTAGAATGGACAAGTTGAGTTTTTTCAAGTGATATTATTATAAAACACACACAAATCGTCTTTATTATTTTGTGGATTACTTGGGTGGCCTTTCTGCAACAGGTTATGGGCCCAGTGATCGCAGAAATAAAGATAATTTCATAATTGAATAAGTTTTACAATTTCTACGAACTGAAGTCGACGATAGCGTGTGTGTGTGAGCACATTGAAAGGAAAAAGGAGGAAACACAATTTTTTCAACGATCGAACCATCCAGAGCGGTACAAATCCAACAAGAAGGAACAATAATGAATAAGGAGAATAAGTTCAAGAATATTTCCCCCTTTCGTGGTGAGAAATATTCCGTATGGAAGTTTCGTGTAAGGGCTCTTTTAGCAGAAAATGATGTTTTATTTGTAATTGAGAAAGAGAAGCCAGGAGAGGTAGATGAAAACTGGACGAAGGCAGAGAGATTGGCAAAAAGCATGATAATAGAATTTTTAAGTGATTCTTTTCTCTCATTCGCTGACAATAATTCGACTGCCAAAGAGATCTTTGAAAAATTAGATTCTGTATGGATAAAGTAGCACACCTTCTTTTAACACTACCTTCCATATATGATGGTGTTGTGACCGCTATAGAAACTTTATCTACCGAACATGTAACGCTTTCTTTCATTAA